TTACATAGAACAACCTAAGGGTTTTGTAGTTCCTGGTAAAGAAAAGAAAGTGTGCAAACTTATTAAGTCACTTTATGGACTAAAACAAGCACCAAAACAATGACATGCAGAGTTTGATCAAACCATGTTGTCAAATGGATTTAAGATCATTGAATATGATAAATGTGTTTACATTAACGATACTCCAAATCAAGAAGTTATTCTATGCCTATATGTAGATGACATGTTTATAATGAGCAAAGACATTGATAATATAAAAGCTACAAAGCGTATGCTCGGTAGTAAGTTTGATATGAAAGACTTAGGAGTTGCTGATGTGATATTAGGAATTAAAATTCTTAAAACTCCTAACGGTCTAGCATTGTCTCAAACTCATTATATTCAAAAGATACTTGAAAAATTCAAATTTTTGAATTTTAAAAGGGCAAAGACTCCAATTGATGTAAACCTTTTTCTTGCAAAGAATAAAGGTGAAAGTCAGTCTCAATTGGACTATGCTAGCGTATTGGGAAGCTTAATGTATGTCATGAATTGTACACGACCAGACATAGCTTGCGCTATCAGTAAACTGAGTCGATACACAAGTAATCCTAATCGAAATCATTGGTTGGCAATGAAGAGAGTTTTGGGATACTTAGATGACACTCAAAACTATGCTTTACATTACAACAAATATCCAGCCGTTCTTGGGATATAGTGATGCAAATTGGATTACTGGTCAACTAAAACAAAATCCACAACTGGATACGTTTTTACTATTGGTGGAGGAGAAATATCTTGAAAATCATCCAAACAAACATGTATAGCTCTCTCTACGATGGAGTCTGAATTCATTGCTTTAGACAAGGCAGGTGAAGAAGTTGAATGGCTACGGAATTTCTTAGAAGATATTCCATTTTGGCCAAAACCAATAGCCCCTATATGCATACACTGTGATAGTCAAGATGCAATAGGAAGGGCTGGAAGCATCATGTATAACGGCAAGTCTCGTCACATAAGACGAAGACATAACTCTGTGAGACAACTACTCTCTAGTGGAATTATCACAATTGACTATGTGAAGTCAAAAGATAATGTGTCGGATCCACTTACAAAAGGCCTAAATAGAGAGAGAGTTGAGAAATCATCGACGGAAATGGGACTATGGCCGAGAACAAGTCATCGTGACGATAACTCTACCTAGAAGACTGGAGATTCCAAGATCTAAGTTCAAGAATATAAAACAAAGTCATTGATAACGGTTCAACATTGTCAAGAAAAAATTATTATTTTATGGTCCATTCTCATGATGAGACAATGTTTAGTAACCAGGATAAAAATATAAGGACTTTTTAATGGTTTCTAAGTTTGATACAGGGAATATCAAATGGTGTATCTATGGGATAACACATTTAGAAATCACCTATGTAAGTGTGAAGTGTAAGCCGCTTCAAGGAGAATCTGGTAAGGCCAGTTCTTTAAACATTTACTATCCAAGATGTGTTCATGGCTGAAATGAATAAAACAATGAGAACTAAGAACAATTTAAGGGTTAATTGTGTGACATATGTTGTCTAGGTATTCGCCAAAGCTCGACGGTTCAAAGATATCAAATTTACCGATTGACCGAGTATATTCGATATATGTTCACTACGGAAAGTTTAAAGGGAAACCTACTTATCCAGATGCAATTAACCTTTACCTACAATACACAGAAGTTTTTTATGCATATGTTTTAATAATAGCCTTCCCCATTCATGTGGGGGATTGTTGGGGTTTAGAAACTGTGAATGGGGAGAATATGAAAAGTGAGGGAACTACTTTGGAGGGAAAATGAAAAGTCATTTGCAAAGTGCAAAAGAAAAGTCATTTCTCCCATATTGGCAAAAGAAAGGGAAATTGTTGTACATATATAAGGAAACACTTCCATTACTTCTTAAAGAGCTAAGAAGAAGATGCCCCCTCACGCCGTCGTCGTCGTCGCTCGCTCGGCCTCAGCCTCGCATTTGGATTTGGATTTGGATTTGGCAAATGATGTGATTGATTGATAAATTTTTTTGACAAAATTTATTTAATCAGTTTTTGTTAAATCAAATAAATCATGTTAATATTATCTTTTATAAATTTGCGGGTAACAGTAACATTCCGAAAAGTTGTTACTCTTTCCGAAAAGTCGTTACTTTCCCAAAAAAGTCGTTATTTTCCTAACAGACACAATTTTCCGAAAAATTGTTATTTTTTCCAAAAGACACAACTTTCTGGATAAAATGGGTCTGAACAGATTTCACTGAACAGACACATTCCTTGCTGAAAATGGCTATAAAAGGAAGTCAATTTTTTATTTTTCAAACACTGAAAATTTTTCCTTCTCTGCATTTATTTTTCTCTCAAATTAAATCAATGTGTCGATCGACTGAGTCTGTGTGACTTGTTGCTGTTCTTAAGTTCGTTGAAGTTAAAGAAATTTGAGGTACCACTATTTCTTTAACAGGTTTAATCCGTTTTATCTTGGGAGAAATTAATCCATAACATTGGGTACAGTGAGGGGAATAAATTTCTTAAGGACACACAGTAGTTTCTGTGGACTCGGATTACTTCTTATATTTTATGTTTTTTTTCTTCTTCATCTTATTTTTGTTTCTGTTTATTAACCTTATAAATACAGGTTACTACAACAATAACAAGGACTTTGTCTTAGAAAGACAATAGCTAGTGGTTTCACCTAAGCTTAAGATTATAGTCCTTACCTTGGCAAGTAGGACAATCTATTTTTCGTAAGGGAAAGACATTAGAAACCATGTTATAGCTCACATGATTTATGTTGGTTAACAGTATCTCCAAGTTCGGTTTTTCAGATTTTTGTTTTGACCCTACATTCAGTTATTTCAGTTGCATGTTTTGCTACTTTGTTATTGCATCAGTTCATGTATTTCAGTTTCAAATTCAGTTAATTGTCTCATATTCATCATGTCCAACTTTATAAATTATCATACATATATTGCATACTCAGTTCATTCAAAGTACTGATTTACATACCTTTTGTGTCTATATCTTCAATGAGATGTAGATTCAGGTTCTTACTATCAGGATCCTATATAGTCAATCAGATTGCAGATTCAGCCTAGCAGATGATGAGTTCACTTATTTTGATAAGTACTCAAGTGAATTTGTTGTTCTAGTATGTTATTCCTGTTCGCATGTATTGATTGAATGGAGCAAGGGTCGTGTCCTAACTTGTTATAATCAATATTAATAGAGGCTTCATAGATTGTCAGTTAGAGTTTGTATTCAGCCGATTCTATTCCATATTCTTTTCACATTAGGGTTATTCTAATAGAAAAATATTGAGAACATAGAGGCAGGATCATTCCCCGAACTCACCTCCAGTCTCAAGTTAGCTGAATCCTTCCTCCAAATCTCGCTGGAAAGGGGGTCTAACTTCAGTATTCGCGTTACCAGGGTAGTATCTTGATGTTCATGTAGGCTATGAGTTATTAATAGTAGACTATGATTAGCAAAATGTATGCATAACATAGATTTGATGGATGAATCATGATTATGGATGAGGATATGATGCTTGGATGGATAAAACATATAATTAAGGATTAAAGGAAGTACAAGTGCATGTTAATATGTTATGATATGAATCCTTAATGCATATTTTGTGTTGGTATGACTTACTTGATGAATTACCAGGTTAATATGTATATACACTAAAAGAACAATATGAACTTGTAAGCTAGGGGTTTGGATTAATTATCCCTTCTAGGGATCACCTGGTCTTGTTGATGGCTTGAGGGTGTGTTGTTGAGGCTGAATTCAGGTTAGGCTGTTGATCATGATAATGAATAAGGCATTCGTAGGTTATGACTATTTGAAGTTAACTTTGACTTAGACTCATGTATATACTTGAGTTAAAAGCTTGTTGATTGGTCATGAATGGATCAGATACCACGCTGGTAAGTAAGATATATCATATATACATGTTATATTACGAAGAGAGGGATACCACGCCAGCGCATATACATACATACATATATATGTATATAAAATATATATATATATATATATATATATATATATATATATATATATATATATATTGGAGGGTAGGATATTATGCTGGCATGGTACATGGACAATGTTGATCCCCTTTAGATCATGGATATTGGCATAAATAAGGCTATTGGCCATACAGATCATGGATATTAACTTTATTTGTTGTTGTTTGAGTTCATGATGAACCTGAGTTGTTGGGTGACTGTGTGGCTTGACATTAATATGAATTACTTTGAGATGAAAATACTTAAGGACTATGTGAGCTATTATTGAATGGCCTATGTTGTAGTGGGTAGATCTATTGGTCCATAAATACTTGTTATGTGTTGCAGGTTTGACATATCGATGATGAGGCTAATCACTACGTTTACTTGTTTCATAAAATAAATCTTGTGATCTTTATGTTTATGTTGCGTGATTTAACAATGGTCAGCTGATGATGCTTACCAGTACATGTGGTGTGTTGATACTACTCTTACTACATCCGTTTTGGGGTGTAGATGTGTTGCAGGTTAACTAGAAGACTCTTATGTGCCCGCAGGATCCATGACATATTTTTTCAATTTCTAAAGTCTTTCTAGATTGGGAAGACTTGATGCTTTCTTTCCTTCAACCCATGTCAAGCATTATCTATGTTGTTCAATTGTTTATGACCGGCTAGCAAGATTTTAGACTATTTCTGTTCTAATTATGTTGTTCAAGTATTTACAAATTTTGTCAAATTGGCAAACTTTATGTGTTGTTAAGTTGTTCATATTTCATAGATTCTTTTTCACTTTTTTTCTTGTGATTCATCTCACTATTTTCAACTTGACAACCTCAATATTGTTTAATTACTTACAAGCTACAACGATCAAATAAGTTATATTACTTGCAAGAGGGAAGAGGAGGGCAAAGAAGACGAGTTTGGATAAAGAAGCGGAAACCTAATTTTGTGCAACTTGTAAAATTCGGAAAGAAAGTTTAACATCAATAATTGAGTATATGATAGTTGTATATATAATGTAAAAATCCTTCAATAATTACATAACTCATGATCAAAGGTTGACAGTATAACCAACCGGGGTTGTGCTGGAGTGGTAAATATTATTTTATTCTTAATCAAAATATTGAGTCTTTCACACTATACTATATAACATATATTAGCCTAATTCTGAAGAATCCAAGAGACTCCATCTTTTAGCCTCTGGCGCTCAAGTTTACAAGTTATTGGTTTCCTATTCTCAATTTGATACTCATTCACCACCTCATTACAATATACACGTTATAGGTATTTGAATGCTTTCAGAACAAAATTCATCAATCATCACCAGATCAGCAAAGAGGACTTTAACCACCCTCTTTTTATCACTCTCTCTATATTTATATATACACAGCTAAACGAAATTCGACTTGATTTCTTTCACTCTGCCCAAAATTCCCTTCTTTTTCGTGTGTAGTTAGTAAGTGATAAGTTAGTACATATGCCTATGAAACGGCAGGGATGCTGCAAGTGCCACGGCAATTGAAACCTTCAATCCTCACAGGAGCTGAATTGTTCCCAAACTTCATGGGAACACAACCACCTCCGGTCACACGACTGGAGGTGGAAAAGGGTAGTGCTGATTCTGGAAATGGTTGTATAGGTATAAAGCTGTCGTTGCCAAAGTTAGCATCTTGAATTAGGGGATTTGAAGCCCTGGTAGGCGGAGACCCGCAGAAAAATGGATTGGAATTTGAATACTCAACATCATACCTCCCCTGATTACAGAAAAAATCAGAAATTCTCAGTTTGCCTAGTTCCACAAGTTTCAAAATTCATAATTATAGTTTTGATAACTTTTTACAATAATGTTACCTCGGTGAGTATCAAATCCAGAATGTCAGTTTCAGCTTTCAAATCACAAAACTCCACTTCTTGACTGATAAAATACCCAAATAAATAAAGGTAAACAGAAAACAACAACAACAAAAACAAGAAGAAAAAACAGAAAACATACTTGATTTGCAGAAATGTAGCATTTGTGTTGAACCGTTGATTAGCCACACTCTCTCGAGGCTTGGGACAAACTACGCCTTTAGAGACATCAATCTCTCTGAAACTAACGAAGCCATTTTGACAATAAGCAAATTTGTTCATTTTTGTTCTACTGTTCAAAGCCTGGAAAACAAGAAAGAGGATTATGATAAACATTTATGTTAATACCCACAAATGTAATTTTAATTAATTAATACTATATAGAAATGAAAATTACTAAATCTAAAGATCAGAAGAATTTCATGGTTGGAAGAGATTTTCGGCAAATAATTGGTACCTGGTCGGTTTAATTTTGAAGGGAGAGAAAGTGGCAAAAGGGAAAATTTTGGTGAGAGAGATTTTTAGATGCCAAATGCAGATTTATATTTATGGAAGAGGATAGGAAAAAAAACGCGTGAAAATTAATGATTTGTCTATCCACATGGGGTTGAGGTTCTCATCCATATTACTTCTCCGCTCACTTTTAATTATTAAAATTTTTTCTTTAAATTAAGATACAAATCTTTTCATTGAATATATTCTACATACTTTAAAAGAATAATGTAATTTAATTTGATACGAAATTAAAAGTGAAGCGAGATGAAATTTATGGGTTTGAACGACTCTACTAGCTTTTTTGTAGACCATGTATTTATATTATAAAATTATTATATAAATATATGTATATTAACATATGAACCCCCTAACAAAATTGATTTTTAACCCCCAAACACCTAACCTTTCTCCGCCTCTGCACGGAGTTTAAAAGATATGAGAAGACTTTTATATCTTGTGGTGCTAAATTGAAGTTAGTTTAAATGTACAAAATTACCCTTTGATCTTGTGGCTTTAAACATATCACGTGGAAAACTGATTCTAAAATGTTACTAAAAAAAAGAGGTCATTCTTTCTTAAACAGACAAAAAAAAAATCATTCTTTTTGAACGGAGAGAGTATATTGTCATGTATTTTTTTATTTGATACGTAAAAACTTGTACTTTCTCGGATTCTTTTTGTATGTCATCTTTTTTATAAAAAGTTGAACAATAATATTTGTTATTTTATAAAATAACATATATTATTCCTATTATACCTTTGATATTGTAATTAATTAGTCTTGCATTTGACCAACCTAGAAAAACTAATAATTAGTTAATATTGATTTGGCTACCCAAGTTTAGGATTTTGCCCTGAAATATCATTTATATTTCATTCACGATCAAAATACTACTCAACTAAAACTATTTTTTTCAAATATACTTGACACTTCAAAAAACCCGCTCTTACCTAGTTGACATGTCACGTCATTGAAATCAGGGCGGGCTCAATGCATGGAAGGCCTTTGTCCCAAAATTTTGGAAGCCTCAAATTTTTGTCAAGAATAAATTATATGTTAAATTTATTATAGAAAAAATAATTATTTATAATAAAAAAGAATATATTTATTTAAAATACATTATTTTATCCATTTTTGCATCTATTTTACGTTATAAATAAAGATAATAGTTATAGTGTTGAATAAAGTTAATTACAAATTTCCTTCTTATTTTTTTTTATATTTTAGTTTCGAACATTATACAAGCATATTAAAATGAGGTCTATCAGATCATTAACTTCTTGAGTTAAATTCTATATCCTAACTCTTATCTTTATTTAAAATTTATCGATTTATCACTTAAAGCATTATGTTACCAATACATATAATAATTACCTCACTTAAAGGATGTTTTTCAATGTTGAGTTGATAAATCTTACCTAAAACTAATAACAAAAAAATTATTAAATAATAATAATTTTCATCTAGATAGTGTGAGAAAATTAAATTTGAATAAATATGTATATGCATTTTATTTATATTTTAGGGCGCGAATTGAAATTTCGCTTTAGGCCCCCGATTACCTTGTGTCGCCCCTGATTGAAATCTTCCTTTTCAAGTGATAGACTTATTTAATTTATCAAAATCATTTAACTAAAATAATGATCTTATTGTTATAAAATCAAGCTCATGGCAATATAAATATAAAGAGATGAAAACAAGAGGAGTAAGATGGAAGATAAGATTTTTTTCTTATTCAAGTGTATTCAAGTCTCATATGTATATCTTACAATAGTGAATGAACAACCCTATTTATAGAGTGAGAAATCACTCCAAAGGTTACCATATTAAGTATCATAATAAATAGATACATTCTTATCTAAAAAGGTTCATGTCACCTAGTGAATATGAATGGTTGTTCATGTACCAACCTTATGGACTATCCACTTAATTGAATGTATTTATAACACT